GAGGACGCAGTGGGCAAGAGAGGAGGAGTTAGCATAGCGATAGGTTAGAGGCAGCCATAGCTGCCATAGCTGTAATTAGTTGTGTGTGTGTGCTCGAGTGTTAGAGTGATGCGTGTGGGATATCCAGGGTGATCCAGTGTATGTGAACAGTGAGATGTTTGGGCGCTGAAGTCGCCATAGCCAATTGAGAGTGAACGCGTATCTGAAAGCCATATCTCTGAGTTTTGAGTGGGCGCATGTCGCCAGTGTGCTGCGTTACTGTTTACATGTGTGAAAAGTGTGTTTGAAAACGAGTCTGATTGCAGTTTTGAGCCTTGCGGGACTTGATCCCGTGACCTGTAATTTGTATGTGTTTTGTTTGTTAGTTTTGACTCTTGAGTCCTATGGGACGATCCCTGAGTCTGTCACTAGCAGTCTCTTTTTGGTAGCCTTAGGCCATTCAGCCTTTTCCTTTTGCCTTGTCATAGGTCTAGGTCTCCTTTTCCCCCTGTTTCCGTCTAGATGCAGATGAGCATTGGGTTGTTGCCTTTGGAGTCCGTGGTAGGTCTAGGCAGAGGGTAGAAGTAGCGGGCAGGAAATTTGGTTTGGGTCTTTTCACGTTTTGTTGGCTGGGGAAACTCTGCCCGTCCGTTGCTGGAGCGCTGCTGCTCTATTTTGGGCGAGGTCATCTTCTTCCTCGAAGCCCAGCCATAGCTGGGGTTGGGAAACGAAATTGAAGATCGCACTGCTGCTATTTCACAGCTCTGCATGAGAGCTTCCACAGGACTGTGTTGTTGGGTTTGGGTGCTGCCATCTTCCACTTGGCAGCCAGGACTGTGTTGTTGGGTTTGGGTGCTGCCATCCTCCACTTCGCAGCCATATCTGCTGTTCTTCCTCTCAAGGAACTTTGTCTTCTTCGAAGTGCTGGATCGGTTGTCTCCTTCTTCATCAGGACTTCCAGMGCTGCACTTCCGTGCGGGTGCTGAGCTGGCGCTGTTATCATTAGGGTTGCTGGTTCAGATTGGCACGTTGTGACAGCTGTGGGGTTACTGCTGTTACGGCAGCCATAGCCAGGGTATGAGGTGGCGAGGAGGAAGAAGAAGACTCCTGCATACTGCGTTGAACACTTGTTTCCGGTTGTTCGGGGTTGTTGTAAACGCGGTTGTGATTCTTGGAACAAGTACTCTGGATTGATTGGAGGAGGACGAGGGATTGCAGAATTGAAATTCGTTTTTCAATTCTCTGTGTGTTTTGAGCTTCCGCTGTGCATAATCTCTCTCCGGTTTTGTGTGGATCTGCCTCCTCCGAGTCTACTCTGTAATTGCATGCATGTATGGGAACGTGTGAATTCGTTGTGGATGGAAGTTCAATCGGGTACATAACAGACTGGCAGTCTCCCACGAGTGGACATGCTGTGTATATATGGATAGCATCGTGTAAATGGCAAATCTCCAACAATTATTCCAGCAGGCAGTTTGTTTCCCATGCTGACTGACAGCAGTGCCTTTGGAAATACTTAAACCACCACTCCATCCTAGCCTATTTTGACCAACCAAAAGTTGCATTTCCCCGACACCTAGAATCTACAGTGCCTCCGTGGGGACAAATAATTGTTGTACCTTTCCCCACCGAACTTTTACTGGGCCTGGGCACTGTAGAGTGTGGCCAAGTACTCGCAGATATAAAGAAAAACGAGCAGATTAGGGGCCGTTGGAGTGATTTTTGAACGTACCTTCTTCTTAAGAGTAAGGCCCAGTTTTCCACAGGCTGTGGTTTTGCCAACTCCTTGTAGACCTGCCAGCAAAATGACGGTCGGTCCTGACGGTGCGAACTCCACTGGAGACAGCTCGCCCCCCATCAATGCTATAAGCTCATCATTAACAACCTGAGGGCGAAAAACGCACAAAAGGTGATGAGGCCATCAGTCGGGCCATTGCCAAAAGTGTATGATATCGCCGGCACACAAGGTGACAATATCAGTCACCAAAGATATGGATTGTGCACAAGTGTTGGAATTGACTTACCAGTGGGACAGGAGCAGGGCTGTTGCTCACCACATGTTTAATACAAAAAGGGAAAAATAAATAAGAAACAAACAAAAAAGGCGCATGTCTCTGCTTCGTTCTGTTATTTTTATTGCTTTTTTCTTTGCAACACAAGTTTTCGCTCAAGTGGGGGGCCACCCATTTTATTCATTTTTATGTATGCTCTTCTTCAAATCAAAGCACAGAGAAAAGAAATTAAAAATAAAAAATAAAATAAATCAAGATGAGAGTCTTGATCCAGCAACACAGCCTGGCCAGATTTTGAGAACAAGATCCCCTCCTGCCCAGTCTGGCACAGTTCCTTGAGCAAACAGAAAATCAAAGCAAAGAGGAACAATCAGCACACAATGGAGAATTGAGTGGTGTGTAACGTGCGATCCAAGCGGCGGACCGTGCGGTAAAGTGTGCAAAACATCTCAGCCGAGATCCCCTCGGCAGTGAGGGCTCTAACCAAAGAGTAAACTTTGATTTCCAGCAAGACGGAGAAATGAAACTGATGTCAACAGATTTGGGCCTAAGGGGCCCTTCTTGCTTGGGCCTGGTCCCACTGGTCCCTTTAGGTCCTATGCAGGCCGTGACCAAATCCCAACCAAGAGGAGTCCCACATGGACCTGCTTTTTGTCCCCTACCGTACTGAAAAACGAATTTCAACTTCAGAGAGACCTACCGACTGCAGCCGTTCGGAAATGAAAAGACAAAGCATAGTAGAAAGATATGGCGCTCAATTCAGTATACTCCATCCATCTACTCGTCAGGTGAGAAAGCGGTTTGCCCGCTCATGCACACAATCACGACCATAGAGGAGTAGGAAAAGAAACCCAGAACAACCCCAACAGGACATCAAGACCATGCACACACTCATGGGCATCCCGTAGGTGCATGACACTTACCTGAGTGGCCTGAGCTTTGAGATGAAGTACAACTCACCCCCCTCTCAATCAGCAACCTCTACACTAGTGTCCTGTCACCTAGGAGGGTCTACCCTATCCCAAGGCACAATGCCGAATACCCCGTCGATGTTGAAGACCAAAGTAGCAACTTGCAGTCCGTGGGTGCAGATATGGCTGCCACACTGCTCGCCAACTTGAGGGGAGCCCTAAAGTCGCCCAATGTCCTCCTTGAAGTCCAGACTCCAGTTGTAGGTGCCTCTCACTGTCGCCTCTCACAAACTGCATCACGAAGCTACTCCTTGTGTCTCGCCACCCCAATCTTGCACTCTTGGAACCTGGCAGGGTCAAGTGCCGACCCTGCACAACCCTACCAGGTGGGGGCAGCTTCCCTTCACCCCGCTGCCCTACTTCCCTTCACGAACCAACCCAAACCCCAAGTGGTGCCCTCGACCACTTAGGTTAGGGTTAGTGCAGCAAAGTCAACTCTCGGCAGCAAGTAGGCCGTCCAATTGCAAAGAAATGAATGAACTTGGGAGATAAAGAAGAAGAAGAAGAAAGAAAAAAGAAGAAGAAGATGTACACCAGCAAAGGCCAATGATAATCCCTCCTCCTCTCCCCAACCAACTCCACCTCCTTATCACCTCCACTCTTATTCAAACAATAAATAATAATATGATGATGAATGGCTGAACCAAAGTTTGAATCCCACTTCTACTGTTTGGCTTAACTAGAGGTCCACCATAGCCATGGAATCCTTCTTCTGCCTCTTCAATCAGGCCGAGGCTATGACGGACTACTAAGGGCCTGGCCCTGCTGTGCAAAAGACAACTCAAAGCAGCTATGTTTGCTGCTACTCAGGCTATCACCTTCTCTGGCAAGACTTTCCAATCTTTTCTAATTTGCTTGGATGGTATTTAGAGCCTAATCCGCGTTCGCTCGCCACTACTAACGGAGTCTCGGTTAATGTGCCTTCCTTTAGCTACTTAGATGTTTCAGTTCGCTATGTCAACTTCATTGCAGCTCCCAGTGAACCAAGAATAGGCCATGGACTTGGATAAAACATGATAAGGATGCTTTTGAGAACTCGTACTCATCGCCATGCCTGACTCTGCCTTGAAGTCTTCTTGGTGCGGCGCAACCCCCACAGGGGCCTTCCAGATGCAGCGCCTAACAAGGTAATGAAGATGGCGTCCACCATAGCCAGGTAAGTACCTCCCCACTCTCCTTCCCATTCCCCTTCTTCCTCCTCCTCTTACCGGTAGAGCTCCACCATAGCCAAGGTGGAAGCTCCCGGCCTTCTTCCTCCTCCCAGTGCTGCTCCTACCAGCGCTCCTCTTCCTTCAGCTCCCAGACTTCTAGCGCTTGCTCAAGCAGCATGTCGCCCAAACTTGCATTCCGCGAATGAGGAGCACCTCGCTCCTCCCGAAGATATAGCGGCCTACCTTCTCTTGGGCGGTGACTTCCAGGTAGCGCGGCCTCCAAGCAACCAGTACCTCCTCCCTTTCGGAGGAAAACATCATTGCAGGCTCTGATATAGTCTGCACAGGCCCTAGACTCAGGCTACATGGACTGGTACCCGCCTAGGCCTAGTGTAGCATATCAGAAAGTGAAATGCACTGAAAGCCTAGGATCTAGCAATGACGAAAGTGGCAACAACCAGCAGCATAGGTGCAACATTCACAAGGTGTCAATGTGCGCGATGCAAAGAGTGAAACAACGAGAAATCAATAACAACACATTCGTATCATTATCATCATAGGCTGGAAAGCAGCGCAGCAGAAGATTTAGTATCAAAAGGACACGTGGACAACAAAAGGGAGAAACTTTGGAAGGGCAAGACACCAGAAAGATTGCCCTTCCGATCACACACATGGGGAGAGATCCATAGACATGCGAGAGAGAAGGGGGAGGGACATAGAGGTAACCAAGTCCAACCCAAGTCTGATCTCCGAATGTCGTACACAGTTCAATCCCAATGTAGAGTGTAAGTCCGATCTGAATGTCGTGTCCAATAAGGCAGAAGGCC